ACTTCTTTAGATATTAGTTATAATAAGATCGGTGATGCAGCGGAAAAAGCATTATATGATGTTCTCTACATAAATACTACTTTGAATATTAGGAATAAACAGATCGGTTATTAAGAAAAAAGAGTATTAGCAGAGGCACGTTTAAAGAATACTACTCTGACTTATTTTTAATGTTTTTGTTTAATAAAAAGGTACAATCATTCAAAATATCTTTTTACTGTAATTGTTCAATTAGCTTAGCTTAAATGAGAAAAGCCTTAGTAAACAAGCATTTATTAAGGCCTTTTTAAGAATATCATTGTGTTATTTTAGATATTGTAATTGTAATAGCAGATGCTTTTTTAAAAATATTTCTTTTTTGAATGTGAAAAAATATTATTATATTTTATTTTAAATACACGCTATTATCTATTTCAGTATTTTTTAGTTTCACATTTTGTTAACTGACCTAACTTCACAGGTGCAGTATTAACTATAAAAATTTTAAAATAAATCTTGGTTCCTTGTTTTGAGTTTAAAATTTGCTATTTTTTATATTAAGGGTCATGATTTTTCCACGCCCGTTTTTGATATTTCCACACCCATATGTAAATCATGTTTTTTTTTTAACTTTGATCAAAAGTAACTCGACGCTCACACAACCAAATTCGATGAAATTTTTTATTTGAACTGTAGAATTCAAATAAAAAAAAAATTCATCGAATTCGATTGTGTGGGTGTCGAGATACCTTCAAGAAAATTTTGCCACAGCTAATAACGATTAAAAATTTTCTTAAATTTGATTGAAGGTATCTCGACATCCACCAAATAAAATTTGATGGATTTTTTTATTTGAATTCTACTGTCCAAAGAATTCAAATAAAAAAATTTCATCAAATTTGGTCAGGTGGTTGTCGAGATATTTTCGATCAAAATTTTAAAAAATTTAGACGTCAAAATTTTTTTTGCCTTTGATCGAAAATATCTCGACAACCACCCGACCAAAATTTGATGAAATTTTTTTTTATTTGAATTCTTTGGAACAGTAGAATACAAATAAAAAAAAAAAAAATCATCAAATTTTAATTGGTGGATGTCGAGATACCTTCAATCAAATTTAAGAAAATTTTTAATCGTTATTAGCTGCGGCAAAGTTTTCTTAACTTTGATAGAAGGTATCTCGACACCCACACAATCGATTTCGATGAATTTTTTTTTTTATTTGAATTCTACTATTCCGGAGGATTCAAATAAAAAATTTCATCGAATTTGGTTGTGTTGGCGTCGAGTTACTTTCGATCAAAGTTAAAAAAAAAAACATGATTTACATATGGGTGTGGAAATATCAAAAACGGGTGTGGAAAAATCATGACCCTTTATTTATTTAATAAATTTAAACCAATTAACGGTTTACATAGGTGAAGAGCTACGTAATACTAAACTTATCTAATCTAAACATCAAAATGTTAGTGCTATCCCCTAATGGCATGCAAAGGAGTGCTGAAACTAGGGTTCCGCATGGGATGGACTATCCATGGATTGTTCATGGATCAGCCCAACATGGGCTTGGATATTGATATGGATTTTTTGTTGGATCCGTAATACTAATTTTGGTTACAAAATTTTTTTTATAAAAATTAACTTGGATCTATCGCTATGGGCCGAATTTGGATTGTACTATGTGGTTATGGGCCGGGCTTGGATTTATCCAATTAATATGGGTTGGTACATTTTTTTAATGGGCTGGATCTGGGTATCAAAATATCCGGCCCAGCCCGGCCCATGCGGAACCCTAGCTGAAACTGATCCAATAGTCAGTATCTACTTCAACTGACTTTGTCAACGCATACATAGCAGATTTCACAATCTGGTCAGAAGATTCAACCCTCAAGACACTATATGCTTCACAGAAGTACCCGGTCTCAAATCACATCTGTTAAATCCGACGCCATTCGGAGGAATTTGATCATCCTCAAGGTCCCTGAAGGTCAACAAAAACCATTTGTCCAGGAGCGCCGAAAGAAGAATTACCTAAATTAATCATTTGAAAGATGGTTGTCAGCATTGGACTGACAGTTTGATTATAATGAACAAAAAGACTTTCATAGAATGTTTTAAAATTCGCTCTGTCCACGAATTGTTGAACATGAGAAGTTGTTGAACCTTCAGACCAGCTAGGAATGGTTTATTTTTACGATATTTGTTGGTTAGAAAAGCTAAATCTAATAGTGTAATTCCTTTTCTTCAAGAAACTCTTTTGCTCTTTCAAACAATATTTACAAACTTCCGGTTTCAAAATTTCAGGCCAATTGGTTCATGTCATAGAGCCAAAATTGATTGATAAGTAAAAGCAAACCACAACAAAGCACATTGGTTGAAGTAATTCCCATCAGCGGGGTTCGCATGTAAGTTGGCATTCAATAACCCTAACCAAACAAGAATATCTTGTCGAATACAATTATCAACGTTAAATTGCGGAATAGTCTTGTCTTAACAGTATCTTAATAAATTGCGCGGAACTATTGTCTTCATAAACTATATTAAAGATTTTTGCTTGTTGTAAACCCTGAAGCATGGTATGTTCACCATTTCCATTAGGAATGTAATTGTTAAGAAATCCTTCCATATTTCAAAGCTTTCATAAAAAAGCGCTTAATTTGCATATCATTATGCTTAACACGAATGTTGATTAATTGAACATGGGTTTTTAAGCCAAATTTCTTGATCTTGCAGAATCCACTTTGACACAGATGAAAATAGCATTCTTTATTTATCATATGAGAAAATTCACAACGTGATATATTTATAGGAGCCTTCTCAAAGTTTGTGATTATCCGTTTGAGATTCGTAAATCGAATCTGCTTAAGTTGTTAAATTCAACCACACTAGGTAGTTGAGATTGAGGAGTAGAGACCACCAATTTCTTGGCGATTGCAAAGTCATAATCTAATAGCTGATCTAGCTGAAAGAACTTCCAAATCGATTGGATTTCCATTCTGATCGATATGATTGTGACTACGCTTCACAGAAGCAATTACATTCATACTTTCACATTACCACGATCTTGACTGGTAACCGGAATATAGGTCGATTTTTGTAAAGTATCTGGCACCAACTAACTTATCTATCAATTCATCGATACGAGGAAGTGGATATCGATTTTTGATGATGATTTTATTAAAGGCACGGTAGTCAACACAAAGTCTTAGAGTTCCCTCTTTCTTATCGGAAAAAAGGACAGGGGCTCCAAAAGGGGAAGTACTGGGGCGTATAAAGTTTTCTTTAATAAGTCAGCTAACTAACATTTTAATTCATCAAGTTCTTTATAGGACATCCGATAGATGTGACGAAATGGGGCTCTGATCCGGGGATAATTCTATGGCATAGTCAACTTTGCATTCTGGTATATTAGAATTGTCACCTTTATCTTTATTTCAACCGCAAAAATTTTGTTATTTGCAGGTATCTTAGCTAATTGTTGTAGGATATAATACTGAATTACGACTAGGTCCCTTTTGTGTATTTTTGGAATCTGCTTGAACTTCAATATGGGTCTAAAACTATTGAAATTCAAGCAGATTCCAAAAATTGCCACCCGGGTGGATCACCCATAAACCAACCCACGGGTGACCCGTGGCCAGTGTTGGAAATTCAAAAGACAATATGATGATTTTTGTGAACATAATTTTTTTTTATGTTCACATTAAAAAAAATAATAATAACAAATAAAATTTTACTAATTAGATAAAAGTTATCCATGTTCACGAATGTGAATACAAAATAAAAAAATTATGATTTTTTTAAAAAATTTATGTTCACAGTGAACATATGGGATCCTTGATCTAATTCGGAAAAGCTTAGACCAGAATACCTTATATGTAAATCACCTTTTGCTTTATTTATTCGAGTCTTAGCTTTTCCGAATTAGCGTGATCAGAAAATCCCGAAGGGTGATTTTCCTAGCAAAGATCCCATATGATTTCCAACACTGCCCGTGGCGTGTGCATGTTTTTACTATTGGAAAGTAAACAGTCAACGAACATAGAATACATGAAGGTTGATGGGAAATTTCGAGATTGGTTTATTTTAAGTTGGCTCACCTGATTTTCACCCAGTGATATATAGTCCACCCGCCGGGTGACCCGCATTGGACGGGACTGTTAGGGGACGAAGCAAGATGGGATAGTCACCAATTGAAACAGAACAAAAAAACCCACTACTACACAACAAACTAAAGGAGGTGAGACGGAGAGATTTGGCAGGGTAAGGCAAATTGGTTTGTCGCGAGTACAATTATGAGAAATATAAACGAAAGACGTTAGAGTAGAAATGTATTGATTTCTTTTTTTTTTATTGAATTGTATTCGGACTTTTGTTGTTCAAAACTCGAACCACACTAACTTTCAGCTCGCTACTCTATTTATACAAAAAATAGAAAGAACAGAAAGAAAAAAGAATACAAGGACTCGTCTCTCATTCCATCACACTATGGCTTCTGATCCTAGCACGATTCCTTCGTTTTTCCCCGTGAAAATGTCAGCGACATTCTTACACGATGTAAAAGTGAGAAATGATCCGGAATCTCTAAGTATGGGTCTCACGGATATCAACTACCACTAAAACTAATCTAAACAATACTCTAAACTACTGAACTCTATCAACCCTAATGGTGGAAGGCAC